TCAGGCTCATGCTGCTGAAAATGCAAAAAAACTTGAGAAGACTGAATTTTTAAAAGTTCTTATCAAAAAAATTGCTGGTCGTCGTGAGGAAATATGATTCAGTGCTAGGTGGTGGTCAAGACACGCCTGCAGAGCTTAACCTTCAGGATAATGTTTTGCTAGATAAAGCTCCCAAGGCTTAATTTTTTTTCTTTCTTTTCTAGTATCTTTTATGTGCAAATTTCCGGAGAATGGCTACTTTTGTTTCCAGTAATTTGGAGAGCTCAAACTGTTATCTCAAATGTCAACTCATGCTGCACGTCTTATAGCACGCGGCTTTATTCGTCTCTGTGCTCAATAAGAAGCCTTCCGTTTTGTGCAATTCAACAGTTAATAGTTTTATAGTCACCCAGGGACACATCTATAGTTCGCAGCACTGTAGTTGGGAATGTATTTTAAAATAAAGAATATCAATTCAGATATGCCGGTTCAAACCTTTATTTTCATGGATTACAATTTTTTTTTTTGACACATGTCAGTCACACGTATGTTGCTTTGCATGTTAATAACTGTTGTTCTCCCTTTGTGTAGAGTGCATTTAAAGACAACTTATGCTGTAGTTGTCTGGAACAAAACAAAAATTCAACTCAAGCTTAAGGATATTTCCATCTCAGCAACCCATTTTCACTTTTTGTTCTTGAATACTTCTTACCATTGCATATCACAGTTTTATTTTTTTTAATTAAACAGCTTATCACTCATGCAAACTAAGAAAACTACTGAACACTCTAAAAGGTAATTTTACACCCTGATATTTTATAAAAAAAATATTGTTATAATTATTCGAAACAATAAAATAATAAGATTGTAGTAATTTTTAATGAATTAATAATATTAACTTTTGGTAAAAAAATTAATGATGAAACAATTATGAGCTACAACGCTAAAAATAAATCAAATGTTAAAAATTGTGTAAATAACTTTAAAAAAATTCCGTTGCCGGAAATCGAACCCGGGTCTCCTGGGTGAAAGCCAGATATCCTAACCGCTGGACGACAACAGAATTGATGATCCTTCAGAGAACAAGATATACTTATTCTTTTATATGAAGATAAAATTCATTCCAATTCTTTTGATGATCGTATTTCATTACGATACCTAATAAATGCCATATTGATAATGCTTAAAACAATATCAACAATAATCTAATTATAATTATTAGTCATAGAAAAAAATCCTCATAAAATGATAAAATTTTATTTTCTGTTTGTTTAACTCATTAAAATTATAATACTCTTATTAAAAACTTAAATATTTACTATATATTTTGTATTTCAGGTTTAATAGATTTTGTTAAATACTTCCTCTTAACTATTTAAAAATTGTAATAAAAAATATACTTTTATATATCTAGGACCACATGATATTTTCTTAAGAAACAATTTTATTGGATATATATATTATGAATTAGGATATGCCTAAGAAATCACATGCTAATATCTCGAATAACATATTGCTTCTAAAAAGTAATTTCTCACAATACAGTAAAGTATACTACATAATAAAATTTAAAAAAATGTACTATTTGAATTTTTTCACCGATGATAAGCTACAAAATATTTTTAACTTATTAATTTTTATCATCTAGAGTGAAATATTTACTAAAATGTGGACGATTGGATTTTATTGTAAAACGTCACTGATTATCTTTAATGAAGTTTTATTTTTTAATTATTATTTTTTATCATAAATGAAAATTCTAAATAATACTTACAAAATGTTAACCTAATTAAAAATATTAAATGAACATAGTAGTACTCCTTTCCTGTTATCCTTTCAAGTTGAAGAGAAATGTATCAGAAGTATTTATTGTTCCATTCAATTCTGCTATTTGTTCAAAGTCAACAGAGAATTTAAATCGAATTTTATTTAATTCAAATTTAATACAAATTTTATATTCACTTTTCATATTTTATTTAAACTTAAAATTTATATTTAATTTTTAGATTTAATGTAAGTGACTATTTGATGAAAAATCAAAACGTAAATATTATGTTGATAGTATATTCAACAGGAGTAAGTAATACGAGCCGTTTTTTAATTTGAAAAATATAAAATATAAATATACTGTATCACATCATTTTTAAAATAATTTATCATTAATTTTATTTTAACAAATTTTTTTAATAAATTTCAAAATATTTCATTTTTTTCTCATTTATTTTAATATATTTATTTTTATAAATTATTTAATGAAGTAATTATAAAAAAATTAAACAATTTATTATGATACATAAAATTTCTCAAAAAAAAATGTTCAAGAAAGTAATACTTTGTTTAAGAATTTCAACAATACTCTAAGTAAACTTTTTTTTTTTAATTTTGAATTGGGATAAATCTGGCAAGCACACTTTCATGCCCAATGTTGATAACAAAAAAAAAATTAAAAGTTAAGAGAAAAATTCTGTTAACTGAATAATAAATTAAATAACGGTGTTGTTGTTCCTCATTGAGCTGAAATTCTGGTGCGAGCCTTATCAAAGTCTTCATTGCCACTTATTAATTCAAAAGTTTGGATATAAATAAGTTTAGGATCCGCATTTTCCGACAAACCTATCACAAAATTTTAAAAACCAAGCAGAAAGTAAGAAACTTTTTGTTTGTTTCAAAGTTGAAGCATGTTCATAGTAATGGACGCTGAATCGAATACTTACGTTGGAGTTATGCAATGGTGGCATACACAAACACAAGATCGCAACTTTATTTTGAATATGCATATGCATGAGTTCATAGTGAATTTGAAGTGGCCAACACATGGGTCCATTTGCACCTTTTTTCTTAAAAAAAAATGGTATTTTGAATTAAAAATATTTCTTTTTCCTTTCAAACACAAATTAACATCATTCAATTTTGAATAGCAAGAAACAGTATCGAAAAGATGGTAGAACAATTTGAATCTTACCTTCGTTTTACTTCCCACACTCCCCAGAATGTATTCTTCGTTTAAGAAAGAAAAAGATAAAAGAGTTTCAGATTTAAAATCATAATTACTTTAATTATATAATAATTGAATTTTAGTGTCATACATTCATAAACACAATCATTTTTGCATGTGAAGCAATAAGTATCATAATCTTTGTTCATATATCATCATTGTGTGTTATACTAACTATTATGATATATAATTTATGTTATAATTTAACCTAACTCTCATTTTAAGTACGGATAAAAACTCTTATTTTAATTATTTAATTTAGAAAATTTTCAATTTTAGCTATTTTTTTTAAGTTATCTCAGTCATTAATATTATTAAGAATGCGTTTAGAAAAAAAGTGATGTTGTATAATTAAAAAACAAAGTAGAAATGTTATAAAGTCATAAAATTAATTAATTTTTCAGAGTAGGTTAGGGAATTTTTTTTATTCTTCTTAAAATTAAAAGGAACTTAAATTGTTATCAAAACCAACAGTTAGACAAGAGTGAAAAAAAGGTCAAAGTATTCAAATCATGAATTTGGGTAAGTTTTTAACCATCTTAATATATATTTAATAATAAATACTAAAAATTAAGACATCTAGGGTTTTATGTTGTTCTCTATATTACATCTGGATAAACTTGATTGTGGAGTTGCCATTGACATTTTTTCCTTTTCTATGGTAAAAATAAAATGCTAGCTAGTGTAGAAAATCATGGTTTGGAATTGTTAAAATCTATATTTTAATTTGTAACAAATGTAAGTAAACTGTTTATCATGTTAACATAGCCACTAATAAAATTAGTGGAGAGAAATTAGCTTTCCAAATTTTTTAAACAATTTATTTGAAAATATAAAGACTAAGATAGAATTTTATTAAAATCATAAAAAAAAGAACACATTTTTCCTCTTTTTTTCTTCATTATATCTTATTTATATCATTAAAACTCCTTCAATACAATTTTTCTTTTACAAATCTAAAAAATTATTATATATTTGGGTTAGAGGTGAGATCATGCAAGTTTAGTCAATTTTGGTTTGATCCAATTTAAGATGTTTGGATACTAAATTAAAAGTAATTTTAATTGAAAAATTAACTTGGATGGAAACAATCAAAAGATATATCTGTTTCACTTAAAATTAATTTGAATTTGTAGTTACTGTACTTTCTTATTTTACTCTCTCATAGTATACATATTTTTATCTCCACAATGGTGTCTAACTACCTTTATTTATTGAAATTAATTACCAAAAATAAAATCACTTTTAATTGAAAACAAAGGAATCGCGCTTCTTCACTAAAATTTAATTTTGAACTTTCAAAAAATGTATTTTCATGATATGTATATTTTTATTATCACGATGGTTCTCACTACCTTTGCCTTTTTTTTTATTTTATTTTAATAAAGCATTGTTTTCAAATGAGTTTTTAATATCTATGATCCAAATGAAATTGCAATCTAAAAATAATTTTATGAACTTACGAAAATAAGCAGAAAGTGGGTTGATTATTAATCTGAAAAGAAGAAGAAAAAGTTGATCGAGACATTTACCCCGACACCGTACAAAGTCCAAACAAACAAATCCAACTCCAATTATACAACATAGGACAGTACTGGAATGCATCACCTTTGTTTTGTCTGCATGTTTTTAATATAAATAAATGGGCATGGATCTCGCTTCATCTTCTTTCTTCGTAGGAACACAGATTTCCCAAGATTCTAATCTACACACGGAAACACATAATTTTAACATTACATTGATAAATTATATTTTTCACATTTTCAAAAAACACACTTATTCTAAGACTTTAGACGTCAAAAAAAATTAAATGAAACCTTATAGTATATATATTATTTTATTCATTTAATATTAAAGAAAGGTATACTGTCTAAGACCGTTATCGTCATTTCACGCTTCATCTTTATGTTTTTCACCTTGGAATTTTCACTTTCTTTTCGTCATCCCCAAACTGTTTCTGCAAACTACACTACACTTCACTCAACTCCGAGAGAACCACCAGGAACCACAGAGAACAAGAAAACCAATGTCGCATTCTCGGCAACCGAACAAGGCTGGTGTCACGATCTCCACCAAGATCAACACCAATGGGACCTTCTCCGCCAGTAAGACCCTATACGACGACGTTTATGGTGGTCCTCCCAAGTTCGGCGTTTCAACCCTCTCCCCTCGTTTCGAAGACTACGGCGAGATTTTCGGAAGCTTCCACACCGCGCGCGCCTCCTCCATTCCGCTGCTCGATCTTCCCGCCGTCCCCGATGCCGAGGCCATCTTCGATCCCCGAAGCCACTCTTTCAACTACACCGAAGTTTTCGGTGCCTTGGATTTTGAGCTGCCTTCCGACAACTTGTTTCACCGCCACACTGCTCTCGACGCTGCCTCCTCCGAAGAAGCCTGGTAATACCCATGATTCCACTTTCCAAGTTAACAACCTTGCTTTGTGTATTTAGTTCGTGATCCCTTCGTATGTTATGTTTTCCTTTCTGTGACGAGTATTTTAGAGGACTGGCGACTGATGCTTGCTGTTTTTGATGTTTGACTCAGTTAGAGTTGATTAATGACTTTGATTGAGTGAAATTGTGGCATCTGGTTAAGGGTGGGACATTCTTGTGATTTAATTTTAATGAACTGTATGCTTCCAAAATTAGCTCTTCGATGATGAAATTGGGGTCGCTTTTGGCCTTGAGGACTTTGATCTCTAGTCACATTCGTTTTATCGTGAAAGAGGATTAGCGTGTTATAGATTAACTGGTGAAGTAGTGAATTTTTGGAGTTTGCTAATGTTATATGGAATTATGGACTCCTGGTATCTGTAACTCCACGTGTTATGCTTTAAATATTTTTATGCGTACTGTAAAAACTGCTTAATTGCACGAAGTACATACACACACATTATTGCTTTTAGTTTACTTCAAAGAATTCATATATTGGTAATGCAAATATAATTCTATAATATAGTCATGATCTTTCGTCATTTACAGGAGTCCTACAGAAACTGATTCATTTTCTGGAGAGTTAGATCAATCTGCAATTAATCAAATCATTTTGAATGGAGATCTTTTCCACTCAGTTGATGGTAATGTGGGGTCGAACATTTTGCATCATAATAAGGTCAATGCTACAAACAATGAACATATGTCAAAGGGGAAAACTAACTTGAATCGGCTGCATGCTGTTCCTGGTCTCGGACGAGTATATGATGAAACTACACAAGTGCATCGAACTGATCCATCCTTTCTGGTTGCTGATGATATTGATCTTGATATAGAAGTTTCAGAGACAGTGAAGGGAAACCACCCAAGAGCAACAATGGCACATCGGCGCAATTTTACCTCTGGAGAACAGACTTTTGACAGTGATCTGAATCTTCAAAATGGAGGAAGTAGAAGGGATTCTCATTCCGGTGAGATGTTCATTACTGTGTCTGACATCAATCTCAGAAGTATGCCCTCTCAAGTGCCACCCCCATCTCGTCCACCTCCTGTACTGGATGCAAAAAAGGAGGAGGCCATGTGTAAATTTCATTCGAACAGCAGGCTGGTTTCTTCGAAAGAGACACCTGATGCTGGTTCACCACCTTTCTTTGATGCGGAGGATCATATGAATTCATCTGCTACAGCTTCTGCTGATGCTACCAAAGAAGCAATGCTTAGAGCAGAAGCAAAACTTAGGAGTGCCAAAGAATTAAGAGAGAGAAAGAAATGGGATTGTGAAACCCATTTAAAATCAAGTTATGGTGCAAAAGTTAATGAAGCAAAGATGTATAAGGATATCACTAGAGTAAGTAGTTTGAGTGATGAGACAACGCTGGGAAGTTACGATTGGAGACATTCAAAAGCAAAATTATATGTCACAGACGAAGGGAAAAGAGTTGTAAACAAGTTCGAGGAAAAGAACAAGATGGAATCCCGGTCATCTCAAGAATCCGATAGGAGTACAGAAGTTGGAACGTGGAAAGACGAGTCTGAATTTTTTGAATTGGTGAGAATGGAGGAATCTGGAATGGTAACTCAACCCACAAAGCAGAGTAAGAATTTTATTCAAGGTACTGGAACCCAAAAACATGGTCAGAAGGAGAGAGAAGCATCTAATGTGCAAGAAAAGCATAAACATGTAGAAGCAACTGAAGAAAATTATCAGGTCGAGGAGTACGAGAAGAAATATGAAGCAATAAAAGAGGCTTGTGAAAACATTATGAAATCTGAAGCATCTAATGAGAAACGGAGGCAAATAGAGCACATAGAAAGGGAAAAAATGGCCAAAATATTTGAGGTGGAAGAAAATGAGCAGAGTACAAGAATAGCCCACCTGCATGGAAAAACTGAGAAGGTAAATGAAGCTGACCAATCCGCAATCATGGAAGACACGTTTGAGATGGGCTACGGAGAGCATAAACAAGCGAAAATCCAGAAACCCAAAGAAGTAAATAGACAGAAAGCAATTGAGGCTCAGTCGGCCACGGAGCTTAGGGAAAATCATAAGAAACTACAGGAGGTTGAAAACCAACAACAGAACGTGAATAGGCACAGGCAATCTGAGAAAATCGAGGAAAATAGAAAAACGCAAAGAGAAGCTTTTGCTCTACGACAAACTGAGCACGAGGAAAAATCGAATGGTTCTGGGAAGCTTGAAGATATTGATGAAAGATCAAATGTGGCCTTTGAATCGGATTACACAGAAGAAAAAGATGTCTGCAAAAGAGAAGATGAAATGCAACTAAAACTAGGTAAACAGACTCGGATGAATGAGGGACTGAAAGAAGCTCATGAAAGAGTAGAAATTGAGAAAAGTCTCAAAAGTTCTTCTGAAAATAAAGAAAGTGATGAAGGCCTAATACCTTCTTCCATGTGGGATGAGAATGAAAATCAGCTTAAAGAAGACTTTGAACTGGAAGTAAATGAGATAGGACTGAAAGAGGCTTCTGAGCAGAGGGACAATGAGGCATATGAAAAAGATCAAAGTAGAAAGAAATTTGAAGATGCTTATGATGGGCATGGAGAAGGAAATAGACTTCAAGAATCAGGTGACAACAAAGGGATTCAGAGTGTTATGAATCAAACTCCAGTGCAAGAACAGATTAATGGGATGCTGAATGATGCTCAAAAGAAAAATGTCACCGAGAGCACATCAAGCCAAACATTTTCCAGGGAAGGAAGTGTAGCTGTTTCAAATGCGAATAATCACGTGGAGCAATCTGAGAATATGGACAAAGATGTTGATGGAGTGGAGAAAAATAACGGACTGAACAAGACTTTGGATGACATGGAGTGGAAAGACGGAGGAAACATGAATGGTAAAGCAACTGATGAAACATGGGAAATAGAGAGTGACAGAGATCTAGCAACTCAATCAGCCTCCATTCATGAAGAATTTATTAGAAAACTGACGGTATCTAAAGAATTTGTTGCTGAGCAAAATATTGGAAAGATGAGAACTGAATGCCAAGTTGAAGAAAAGAAATTGAAAGGGGTAGAGGTGGAAAATAAACTGGATGATGAAAACTACAGAGCACCTGAGCGAACGACTGCAGGAGATGCAGAGCATCCAGGAACCCAGTCAGAAAATGAGGGAGACACAGTGACGAAGGTTGATTACCGAAAGAGCACAGAAGCAGCTGAACCTGTTGTAATACAGGAGACTGTGAATGCTAAGAAAAGAGCCCAGTGGTTTCAAGTTGGTGAGTCCACAGAAAACAAAACTAAGAGTATTTATGAAAATTCTGCAATAGTGAAAGATACTGAAAGGATGAGAAGAGAAAGAATCTCAGAAAAGGATCATCTTAGAAAGATGGAAGAGGAGGGGGTTAGAGAAAGAGAACGAGAAAAAGACATTAAGAAATCAATGGTGGAGGCTGAGAGAGAAAGGGAAAGAGAAAAGGATAGGATGGCTGTTGATAGAGCAACTTTTGAGGCTCGGGATAGGGCATTTGCTGCTGCTTCTGAAAGGGAAGAAAGGGCTGCATTTCAAAGAGCAACTATGGAAGCACGGTTCAAAGCACTGGCTGAGGCCAGGGAAAGACTTGAGAAGGCATGCGCTGAGGCCAGGGACAAATCATACATTGAAAAAGAAACTACAGAAGCAAGATTGAAAGCAGAACGTGCTGCTGTCGAAAGAGCAACTGCAGAGGCTCAAGACCGAGCCGTGGAAAAATTAAAGAATGAAAGAACTGCGTTTGAGTCCAGAGATCGGTTAGAGAGATCTGTATCTGACAATTTTTGTGGAAGACAAGACTCTTCATCCTCCGTGAGTTCTGTTCAAATATCCTATTGATAAATTTTGACATAGTCCAATAAATTTCTAATGAATTAAATGACAGGATATGTTGGATACACAGTTTCAGAACTCTAGCTCTTCCACGGGTTCCAGACATCCATATTCACTTTATGGTGGTATGTAAAATTGAACATCCCTGCAATGCTTTAGTATGTACTCTCGTTCAATATTTTACCACATCCTTCTATATAATCTTAAAATCTTTACATTTCTTGAAGCTGCATCTTTTTCTGAGAGATCAGAAAGAGAAGGTGAATCGGCTCAGAGGTGTAGAGCTAGACTGGAGAGGCATCGCCGAACTGCTGAGCGTGCAGTAAGATCTTCGATCTTTGATGCTCACATATAAATGCTCATAGATAATAACATAATGATGAATTTTTTGGACATATCAGGCAAAAGCTTTGGCAGAAAAGAACATGCGTGACCTTCTAGCTCAGAAGGAGCAAGCTGAGAGAAATGTAAGTACAAATCCATATAATTTTTCTGTGTATAAATTGTTGTTTCTATGTTCCATTGATTACTCAAGTCTTCTGCTTTTCGCAGAGACTATCAGAGACACTGGATGCTGAAGTAAGGAGGTGGTCAAGTGGAAAAGAAGGAAACTTGCGTGCCTTACTTTCTACCTTGCAATATGTAAGTGCACAAATTCTGAACTAGGCTTATGCTTCTTCTATATCCTCCTACTTCCAACTTCTCTTTCACACATTTTAGTGATATCCATAATATAGGGTTTGGCATGTTTATGTCAAGGTCATGAGTTTCAAATAAATGAGAAATGCATCTATCTGCATGCTTAATCATGATGTTTATAACTTCCTGCAATTTGACCTTTTGAGTTACGACGAGCAACCATCCAGTATTCTCTAAACGTGGTTCCATTTTTAACTCTTGTACTTGTCAGATCCTTGGGCCTGATTCTGGGTGGCAATCAATCCCATTAACAGAGGTCATTACATCTGCTGCTGTGAAGAAAGCTTACAGGAAGGCCACCCTGTGTGTTCATCCTGACAAATTACAGCAACGTGGAGCAAGTATTCAACACAAATACATATGCGAAAAAGTTTTTGATCTTTTGAAGGTGTGTAATGCAAGCAAGCTATCTTTCACTTGATTGGTTTTATTCATTTATAGTTTTGTTGCAAAACTATTTCCTGTACCTAGTATGGAAACAAATTTCCTGGTTGACTAAGTGGATACTGGATAGCCCGAAGGTAAAATATTTAAAAAGAACACTTTACACAGTACAACAAAAACATGAGTAGGATTCAGCAAAAAATAAAAAAATCATGAGGAGGCCAAAACTTAAATGTACTTGATTTCACTCTTTGTTGACAATGATTTGCAACTCTAATTCTCTTTTTCTTCACCAACTCCACCAAGCATTATCAATCCATAGCAATAGGGGATCAAGCACTTTCCCCAATGTTAACAGGGTTGGAAGGTTAGCCTAATTGTTTCGAACTTGGAGAGTTGGCATTTTGCATTAGAAATGTAACAACACTATTTGTGAGCAGTTATGTAACCGTGTAGTATTTCATTGTCGGCATTTTTTTTATGAGTACATCTTGCAGTTTAAGTTGTTGTCTTCTCGTCTAGTCCATTATTGCCATGCAGTACAACCTCAGGTCATTTTATGATAAAGCTTCACATACCACACTGATTATTATACTTCATCTATTTCAGGAAGCTTGGAACAAATTCAACTCAGAGGAGAGGTAACATGCCTGGCAGCCCAGGTCTGGTTTTTTCTCCTCCCTGTCTCTTGCAATTGTTTATAGAAGCTTCACCTGGGTCGGCAATTCCTTGCCCAAGGCAAGCAGTCCCAGCTTCCAAAACCTTTATAATGATTATTTTGTCAAAGTCTATGTTCTGTAATAGTCTCATCAATATATGTATGTAAGATATTTTCTACCCACGGTATAGTAAAAATTGGAGAAATTCAAAAGTAAATATACATAAATTATAAAGCTGTCCAAGCAAAATTGGAAATTTCTGTTATAATAACTTGTGAATCAATTTTAAGTAAAAAAGGACCCAAGAAAAAAACAAAACTAAATTGGCTGGAGGCTATCGAAGCCAATATTTAGCAAGATACCTGTACTTACCATAGTTTAGTGGTGCAACATTGTTCACGATATATATCTTATCATGTTTAAACATTGATAAGTGTTAAAAATTGCAGTCAATTATGTATTTAGATGATCCATGTAAGTTTTACTAGTTCCATAGGCATGGACCCAACTATCGAACTGTTTCAGGAAAGGGAGACTGTGACTAAGGTGTAACCCTGAACAATTGAGTGATAAAGTATCATGATGAGCGAAGTATGTGTAGTGCTAATGTGAGCGAGGTATTTAGAGTTATATGATAGACACAATTGTGCAGTGCTAATGCTTGCAATCAGGGTGTGCAAAGGAGAATTTGTTTTTGTCATTGGTGTGTGATGCGTTTGTAGAAAAGAACTAAAGGCTATTTTTTCACAAGATTCTGCTTGATTATTCGATAGGCCGTAGGGGAATACAGGAAGATTCAGTCATCGTGGTTTGTTAGTTTGCTATAGATTTCTTTGTCAGGCTCATAACAGCGTAGAGTGAAGTCAACCTGGAAATGCTCTGGGAACAAACTGCGCTTGTCATCATTTTAGATTGTTGTTAGTGGAATCACAATCCTAAGGTGTCTCCAGAAAATTAAATTTATTTTACCACTACGGGATTTTATGATTTAAAATTGAATGCAATAATTTTGAACATGTTAGTAATTTTTACAAACTAGTATTTTTCACAACAATTTATTGGAACTACTGGATACTCTTATAATAATATTTTCTCGAACTAGATTCTTGCAACTGCTTTTATGTTTCGTTTGGACAATGGAGGAAAGGGAAAAGGCGCAGATTTATATTGATTCAAGATGATCATGTACTGTTATAGTGAAAAGAGATTTTTAGCTGAACATAAAAGATGATCATTTTTCTTATTAAAATTGTGAAGAAAAAAGCGAGAGAAATGAGATTCATTCACACTATAATATATTATGTTAATATTATTTTATCACAATTTAAGTTAAAACTAATTCCACAATTAATTATTTTTACACATAATAGATTCTAAGTATTTTTAATTTTTCATTATGATAAGAATAGAATATTTTCACATTTCATCTACTCTTGGACCAAAATTCAATCTTTTATCTTTAATTGCTTAAATTCAAGGGTGTTAATGTACTTTGGTGATGGTTGTGGGTAGGAAGGAGTTTGAAACCTTATAAAAAAAAAGTAAAAATAAGAAGAAAAAAAGAGATATGCAATATATTGTTCAATAAATATTTATATATGTATGTATGTATCATGTCCATGATTAAATTAAAAACTTTATAATTGACAAATTTGATGAATAAATATGTTAACTGATGGGTAGATTTGATAGGAATTAATTTGATATTATTATCATTGACTTTGTCTCTTTAAATTTGATTAGATTTTTCATGAAAAAAATGGATTGGTGGTTAGTATATAACAAATTAATTGTCATAAAACGTAAGAATAGGTCCTAAAAAAAATCTCAAAATCTTTGAGAAAAGTAGTGAGCTAAATAGTTTCACTCATAAGTCTATTAAAGTTTTATATTCTTATTCTAAATATTTGGATATAAAAGTTTGTTTTCTGTTTTCTGAAATTTCAACTAAATAAGAAATTATCAAGAAAAATAAAATACCCGCTAATGGATGTCCAGGTATCCATCCATATAGTTTTTCGAATCAATTTCGGCATAAGCTTCAAGTCTAATATCAAGTTTCGTAGAACATGGATTCCTTGACTGTGTGACTTTACATGAGAAGATAACATACAAGTGAAGACTTTTGAAAGAGTTATATAAATTAACTTGTGAATGTTATAACATGTAAATGAGTCATGAGATAGTTAGATAAATTACTCCACTAATTATCCAATATATCAATAGAGTCCATAACAAGATGAAAAATATGATTTATGAGAAGTTAAGATGATTTGCAATTAGGAAATATATTGTGAATAAGAGAAAAAAAAAGTATTTCCATAAAACAAAGATAAATGTTTTGGTGTATTGTGCAATTTTAAGAATAAAAAATAATTTAAATTTTCAATGATCTCGAGTGTGAAAAGGATATTAGAGTTTTGGTTGTATAATAATTATCATTATAAAGTTAAAATTAATAGTGACAATGTCATCTATGTAGAATAATAAAATGGTAAAAAAAAAATACATGAAACTATAGTGAAGAGGGAATAATCACATTAGTTGAAATCATGGATAATGATAATGGAAGAGAATTTGTCAAATTATTACTTTGAAGCTTGTTTCATATTATATATATCATTTGCATGGTAAATTCTCCTCCTTAACTTTTTATCCTTGATAAAGATCCACATAAATTTTATCAAATAAATCTTATTAAGACAAACAATAAAATTAATACCAATTTATTGTGTGCAGTCTTTAGTCACTTATTTGGCCTTGAATCTATTTACCAAAACATCATACTTGGTTTTATCTTTGTAAATCATCTACATTCAATCTTTTTGTTAAAAAAATAAAAATAAAAATGGGACATGTACCATTCCTTTCATAGCTTCAAGTTCTTACATAACTAATTGTCATTTTAAATATTTTGTTGTCAATGACATTTTTTTTAATAACATTAAAGTTTTGAAGAATAATATTTTTATAATTAAAACAAAACTTATTGTATTAAAATAAATTAGTGATGTTTATAACATATGTAATCATTCCAATGTTGAAGTGTTTTATTGTCTATGTATCTTCTAAATTATTGATATGGAGATATTATTTTTAGATTATGTTGAATATTGTTAGATTGAATTTATTGTTGGTAGAGGAAAAACTATAAATAATTTTAATTATTAAAATGATTAAAAGGTGAAGAAAAACTAGTTTTAAAAATTTAACTCCGTATATTATATCAATAACATTAATTTCAATTATTAAAATAACATTTTTATATATTTTTAACAAAAACCTTAAATTGCAGTGAAGAATTTCGGGTTGTGATGCCTTTGTCGTGAAATTCTATTGTCTCAGCACAAACGCTTTTACAATATTTAAAAAAAAAAAAAATTTAGAGATTAAACTGTGTTTTTGAAGAAACTGGTCTTGATTATTTAGAATTTACACAAGTTTGTCTAGATCATGAACATTTATTTCAATACAAGTGTTAAATAGAAGAACAAAAAAGCATCTGTGCGAAACTAACAAACAGATAAATAGACTAATTCACATCATTGATTATTTGGTACATACTAGTATTTATCTTATTTTACTTTCTCAGTCACATCATTCTTGTCAACTTTTCCCACCAATTCATTTGAATGTTTCAATGTTTCCTGTGCAAGTAATAAATATTTTATCAAAACATCAATTAATGGGCACTTTGACTGAGCAACCAAAGCTTGGTATACCAACAAAAACCAAAATGTCATATTCTCAATTTATTTTTTAAAATTTCTGCAGGTCAAGGATCGTTCATGACTTTCAATTAATTGTGGATGGAGTTATGTTGAGACGGCATAATAGTCAACCAGAATCGAGTCACTACTCCTGTTTTGTACACACAACATTGAAAACAAGACACCAAGCATAACATCAAAGAACACAAATGAAGAAAATAGTAATCCAAATGTCGATATATAAATGTCCTCTATCATGCTACAATGTATCTCTCGTTCTCAACTCTCACCAACCATTTTCCTTTCATCTACACCCAGAAGTATTTTTTCTCACTCAACTGAACCCATCATGTTTAGATCAACTAGCGCTCGAAAAAGCCCTACCAGGTATGAGAAATTAGATAAAGAACATGGTGCCACTGGTGAAAGTTCAAATGAGGAGTTGAAGAGGAGCACAACTTTGCCTTCTCGGGCTATGGCTTCAACCTTTGGAGACATGAATCTACAGAGAAACCCCACAAAAAAGGGCAATAGTAACCCTAAGGAGAAGAGTCACCCACTTCTCAGCTTCTTTGATTTTCGCCGGAAGAAGAAAACAACAGCGAGACCTGAATTTGCTAGGTATCTTGAGTATGTGAAGGAAGGAGGCATGTGGGATGTCAATTCCAACAAACCTGTCATCTATTACAAATGATAGTTATCTCAGCTTTCAAACTCAAGTGTTATAGTACTATTTGTTGTTATTAGAGTTAGAGTTTGATTCTCTTTTATCAAATCATCTTAAGATGTATGAATCAATTGCAAATATCATGTTTATCTTCCTGTGGCTTCTATAGTTGGATTTGATGGCATAAATTTATGCTTGAACATCAAAAATTGAATTCTTTGAGGCACTGTGCATACATCGTTATATCTCTTGTATCATGACATCTTTTATGAAAGTCTATTAGAGATGGTTTATGTATTATATACATACCTCTTCGATTCAGGTTTCAAAAGTTTAAAATGTTTTCCATAGCATAGGATGATTTAGGATTGAGAAGTTTTGTATAGAGGAGACCAACACTTTTACAATTTAATGCACAAAATTCATGTAAAAATATGAACACGAGAGAAGGGACCATGGACAACGAGGTGATGAATTATGCGTGGGGTGGGGAGGAGCCGCAATCCCTGACCGTCGCCATGATAAGTGAGAACAAAGCTATTTGTATTTGACCCTTAATTATGAAGCTTCTCATTGAATATTGATTTCAAAGTGAATATTATATGTTTTTTTATACATTATAAGCTTTGTTTGATCAAATCCCTGACGAGTTTATTATGTTATTACATGTTTTATGGAGAAATTGATCAATGAAACATGTATATCTCTAATCACTCTGACCTATTGAACGTAGTTTGCAACGGTTAGGTTCTCCTAAATTATATGTTTCACCACTTTAGATAATATCTAATCAGAATTACTTTAAAATAATGAATCCTATAGGTTAGTTATTAAAATTAAAAAAGTTATTTAGAAAAAAATTATTTATATAAATATTTTTATCTAAAATTTAAATATTATATATATATATATATATATATTAACAAATTTAATATTTTATGAAAATTTTCTTGCAAGTTTTGTATAAAGATTTGTAGAAAATTAGTTTATTGTAATTTTTTCTGTAAATTTTAATTTTTTTGTGACTAATTAATTATCTAGTAAATTAAAATTTATGAATAATTTTTTATAAATTTTATAGAATTTTTTTCAAGAATTAAAAAAAAATCACAAAAAAACTTGCAAGTGTACATGCAGCAGATTAAATTCGCAGAAGATTTTCCTATGAAATTTCAAATTCCCTATAAATTTTTCTTGTTAAATTTTAATATATATATATATATATATATATATATATATATATAATATTAATTTTTGTGTTTCAAAAATAATTGTATATTTAATAAAATGCTTTATAAATTTATCTTTACATTTTTATTTAATTTATAAATATTAATATATAAATCAGTAAAAATATATTTCTAACATAAGTTTAATTAAAATTATTTTATTTATTAGAATAGATATAATTAACTCAACTATTAAATATTAGTTGATAATAAAGTAATGATTAGAAAAATTTATTCCTTTTTCATTTTGAAATTGTATTACTACCTAATAAAAAAAAACAATTCATGTATTTAACACGCAAAATTTATAGTATTTATAACCATAAGTATAAAATAAATTAAAAATAATACATATATATATATATATATATATATATATATTTAAAAATAGTAAATTATATCTTTTATTTTGTTAAAAATAGTAAATTATAAAATATTAAAAAAAATATAATACCAATACTTAATAAAAAAAATTAATTATATTTTTATTATGTTATACTTAAATTTATAAAAAAATAATATCTCATTTTAATTGAAAACTAATTATGTATTTAACTAATACAATTTTTATAACTAACTTAATAAAATAATATTATATTAAATCAATTGTTTTTATTATATAAAAATAATACATTTAAATATTTTATTTTATTTTGCTGTAAACAAATTGTAAGAAAATCCAAAAATCAATATCAACAAATTTTCTATCATTTATTCAAATATTATTAAATATTTCTTGCAAATTTATATTCATAAATTTCTTGCAAAAAAAATAAATTAATTTCTACTAATTTTCTTTCAAATTCTTATTTGAAAAGTTATATAACTAATATATTTGTAACATAATTTATAAGAATTTAGTCTAAATAATATTTTGTAAAAAAAATTATAATTGTTTGTTATAAATATTGTTTTAGAAAAAATTGAAATTTATTTTTAAAATAATTTTTTGTAAAGAAATTTGCATGTATATTTTTTATGAATAATTTTAAAAAAATTACAAAAAAATAATGACTTCTTAATATATAGTAAAATGAGAGGCCATTTCAAAATTTGTATTGTTCTTTTCCATAATGAGTTTGAAATTTTTTTTTTTAATTTAGAACTACTCTGACGTTCTAATTTAATTTTTATATTTTGAAGTTCTTATGTTTTATAACTTTAATCTATTATCATACATTTTTATATTTAATTTAAATAATAATTATTTATATTTTAAATTATAAAATTGTTTATATTATAATTTTAATTTAGTTTGATTCAATTTAGATTAAATTTTAATTTAAAAATAAATATAATTTTAATCTATTTTTAACTTTTTTTATCTGTTTTCAAAATTATTTTAAATTGATTTTTAATTTAAAAAATGACCTTAAGAGAGGGAAATAGGGGAAATAATTTCTTATTTTATTACTTTTGATATGTAACATTAAGAAGAAAAAAAAACAGAATCTGAATATGAAAATTCAAAATGAAAATAAGGTTTAGTTTTAAAAAAATTCAAATCATAAAACTTTAAATTAATAATGAAAAAATAAATCTAAAATATCCATAGATATTCCTATGTAAATATAAGTTAATTTTCATGTATAGGTATCTATCCAATTTTTTTTATTTAAATTCAATCATTAATTGGATTTAGATCGGATATCAATTAATTTATTATAAAATATAAGTTTTATTCAATAATGAAAAAAGTGATATATATATATATATATATATATATATGAAAAAGACTTTTAATTAAAGTGATTGAACATTTGCATCATATCTAAAATTCATAATTTAATTTTGAAAAATATTTGAATTATTTAGTAGAAAAATATAATAAATAAATTAGTTTGAATAAAATCTTATTAAACTTATGAGATATAATAAATTTGAAATCAATTTTATTCAAATTAAAAATATATATATATATATATATATATGAATATAAATGAAACCTAAATTTAAATTATATTATAAAAATAAAAATAACATTTAATCTAATTAAATGAATTTAAATTTTAAATTTGAGCTAATATAGTTACAACTGAATTTCAAATCTTATATAATAAAATTGAACTTGGAATTCAAATCCAATCAATATCAAATTCAAAATTTCAAATTCTGGAAGAATAGAATACGACATGTCTTGGGCAAGAAGGGAGAGGGGCTTTCCTTCGTTCTTTATTTTTTAAATCGGTTCAAGTTCAACGGGCTTGTCCGCATTCATTAAAACGGCGTCGTGCTTTATCGAGATTTTTATTCTGGTCCCGCGAACTTAAATGGCTGGGCCAAGGAGGGTCCACAGAAGAAGGAACCCAAAAAGAAAAAGATAATAAAAATACTACTAAGAAAAGAATAGAGATATAGAAGGATAGAGAGAATAGGGTGATGTCCAGCCCAAATAATCGCGGAGGTCAACTCAAGAGGCGGTCATCATTTCATCTTTCTCTCTATTTAAAAAAATATTTCTCTGTACAAATTTACTGATAAAAAGAAAAAAAAAAAAGTAAACTATTTGATTTCTTGGAAAATAGGTTAGGTTAGTTCGGTGTTAAATATATGAAACACATATCACGTAGGTGTGGGACAAACAACACAACACAATAGTCCCCAGCGTTAACACTGAGAAACTTCCACAAATTTTTATGCTTCCCGCCGCTACCTCTGCTTCGCTGTTCACGCTCAAGTTTCTCCTTCATTTTCACTTCCTTCTCTCTGTTTCTTCTTCCTTTTTTTCTAGGTATTTTCTCTTTCTCACGCGTCTTAACACTTCTTTTCTTTTTTTCTCTGTTGATGTTTTCGTCACATTGGGATAGTTGTTTGAGTTTTGAATTGTATTCCGTTTATGAGACCAGTTTAGGTATTCGGTGATTTCGTTTGGGTTTCTCTCGACGTGGTTTTATTATTGTCCTTAGTTTTCCGGGGAAAATAATATCTAAATATTATTTTGTTATGTGTTTTGGTTTTAATATGTCGAGGGAAGGAGGGAATATGGCATGGAATTTTGTTATTTGGAGTTTTTCACGAGAAAATAAAATTTGTATTTTTCCAGCTTGCAACACAATTAAATTAGATTAATTAAAAGAAAATTGTGTTTTGAATTTTTGACTCGTTTGAATGCAATTTCTCTACATATGGTGGTGGTTTGGACTGGGGGAGACAAAATGATCCTCCCCCTTTCTCCTTTTATTTTGTGCTTCTCTCAAGAAGACGCAAAATTCAATTTTGTTTATTTAGATTAGATTCAATCATTCAATAGAATTGTGTTCTTGAGTTATTTCATAAGGGTTGTGGAGAGATTGCTAAAAATGTGGGGAACTTTATTGAGTCTTCATTTATATTGCTCTTTGTGGTTTGTACAGCAATGGCGACTTTTACTGCCATAGCACTGGATAGGTTGATAGAACCGGGAGCTTCAAATCCAGTTGATAAATCTACTCCAACTTCAATTGCTATCCCGAACTCACACAAGCTAGGGAGAAGTACTAAAGCTCCTGCCAAGAAAAATAAGGCACCTCGTCCTCCATTGAAGCCTACACTTTATACCACTCCTGTGGTGGCACCCATTCCAGATACGCCTTCTTCGTTCCCTCCTTCACCATACATCATCAACCACAAACGTCGTGGCCCACGCCCCCTCATCAAGAGTTGCTCTGATGTTGACAGTCATGATGATGAAAATGTTAATGATAAGAGTTTTGATGCTGTTGTTGCAAGTTCCGCTGGTGACCTCCATGTGAATTTTACAAACCCTGAACTTGTTAAAGAGGACAAGGTGAATGGTGTCTATGACAGCAAACTGGATAGCAACAATGGTGCTGACCTCGCAATTGGTCATAGAGAAACAGGAAGTAGTAGTTTAACTAATGATTTACTTGAGGAAAAGCCACCTGCATTGAATTTGGCCAGAGTTAGAGAGGTTGAAGACTTCTTTGATCCAGCAGACTCAACGAGTTTCACAAGCAACACAGATGGGGAAGAAAATGCAACATATCTGTCTATGAACTTTAGCAGTCCTAGTGGGGAGTATTATGATGCGTGGGAAGGTAAATTTGGTTAACTTTACTGCTATTATTTCTTTTACTTAGTAGCTATCAATCTTATGGCATTTTCTAATCATATAGGGATGGAAGAGGATTATTACTATTGTAATGTAGTCTCTTAAAAATATTTCATATCTTGTATTTGCTTGCTTGACTCTTTTCATTTTGTAGAATTTTATTCCGACGGCATGAGTCAAAATTCTACGCGCGATATTGAAGCTGAATTGCGTGAAATGAGATTAAGTCTGTTGGTGGAGATTGAGAAGCGGAAGCAAGCTGAAATATCCCTAAACACCATGAGAAGCCAATGGGAAAGTATTAGGCAAGGGTTATATCAAGCAGGAACTATTTTGCCTGCAGACCTTCCTTCTATGGCCGAGGATGAACAGCTTATTTCTGATGGTGTGGATGATCTATGTCAACAAGTTTATATTGCTAGGATTATATCATGTAACATTGGACAAGAAATTGCCAGGGCGGAGGTAGAGGCAGAGATGGAGGCTCAACTTCAAGCAAAGAACTTTGATATTGCTCGACTTTCAGAACGTCTCCATTGTTATGAGACCATGAATAGGGAGATGTCTCAGAGGAACCAAGAAGCAGTAGGTGAGACTTGTCATTTAATTGGTCTATAATTGTGTTGATCAAAGAAACATATCAATTATTGTTTATTCTACATTTAACTGCATATCTTAAATTAGCTGTGTTAATTTATTTTCCTTGTTACACAATTTTCATCATACTGTGTGTTTATTTAGATTATATTGGCACAATTATACATGGTCCAGGGAGATGCTGATAGACATGAGCGTACGGGCTGAGCAAGTATCGTGTTATTGACTGTGACTGTTGTGTGGTTGCTTTTCTGTCTGTTCAAATTTGTTTGTCCACGGGTGGAGACAGTGTTTTTATCAGGTCGCTTCAATCTATGATTTTGTAAATAAAAAATCGTGATTGGTTATTTAAAATTATTTGTGGCATTCCCTTGTGTACCCACTTGACCTTAACAGACAAAAAAATGGTTTTATGCATTAATGTTTCGTCATGGTGATTTATTGAATGTTGAGATATCTTGAGCGCATGGCTTCGTTAATCCCTATTTACACGTTACTTTTATAAAGTGTGCTTGGAATGTGCAGTGGTGTTTAACTATTTATGTTAGGTCTATGTAGTTTTGGTATTTCTTTAAAGCTTTAAATTTTAGTTGGTTTGCTTGAATGACTTCTGAATATTATGTGCATGGAATCTTTAACAAAGAAAAATATTGGGTACACGGATGGAATAAAACGTTTGTACGGGTGATAGTTGTTTCTTGCAAGTTTCGCACAAATTTAATGCTGTCCGGATGTGATGTCTTTTGGGAGGTATTATTTTTTATTGTTGTTGCAGTAAGAGAAAAAATTCTCAGTCGTTTTAATGACTAATGAGCAAAACTTACGTTATTTAAACTACTTTTAGCGAGTCTATTATCCAAAATAGGATCACTGTCCGTGGCCCCTTTTTGCTAGATTTTATACATCAAGGAAATGTCTGCTTGTCAGTTGGCATGGTTACCTTGCTCCCAGCCTAAAATATGTTCTATCTTATTTTTAGCTTTGATTAATTTGTTAATCTCATTTATGTTTTTGGCTGTCTTGTTTAGAGATGGCACGGCGTGAGAGGCAAAGGAGGAGCAACAGGCAGAGATGGATTTGGGGCTCCATCACAACTGTGATTGCTCTTAGTACTGCTGCAATAGCATGGTCTTATCTCCCTACTGGAATAGGATCATCCTCTGCTGAGCATGATCTAGTTCTTGATCATGAAGATGTAGCCAAGTAATTTACCACATAATACAGTAGGAGATCACAATAGAAATTTTAAACGCCACCATATGGTCAACTTACCTCTTTTGAGCAGTAGCTATTTTCTGGCAGTCGGTGGGTGCTAGCTCTAGGAAATTTTGAGAATACGTTTGACCTTCTGATCCATCTGGCACGATGCTTGCATAGTGAACTCTTTTGTTGAGCCTTGTCTGTTGGTTGGTCGTTGGAGAAAAAGCGTATTTGTAAATTACAAATTATAGTAATTCTTTGACACTACTGGTAAACCTAGGTCACAGATGCATTACGTTAGTGATTTAGATATATCACTGTGAATGGTAAAAGCCTTACCACCTATTTGTTTTGTAGTCTTAGTCAATTGTAGTATTCGGAATTTCCAGAACCATTCACAGGAAAAAGTTGCTCATCCTAAATTATACAGTAAGTGTAGATAAACTGTCGATGCTTTAACTGTAGTAGTTAATTTAGTAAAGTGTGGAGAAACTGTCGAAAAATTAACAATAGTTAATTTACTATTAAGTAATATTTTATCACATTTGAACCAGGCCGTGGCTAAAATTTTAGGTAGGCTTATACAGTTTTGAATGTTATAAACAAAGTTCACAAAAAGGATTAAATGTTGCTACGAAATGCAAAACTTGGTCAATTATTTGGGAGTTATGTGCAGTTGGTCCACGAAGGCTTCTAACAATTTTGTTTGGAACTTGTGAGAGATGAGGTTAGTATATTAATTCTGGAGTTTAATTTTATTTTTTTGTGTATAGTCGCACTGAGTTAGAGTCAATGAATTCATGATTACTGCTCAAACCTCCCACCATTAATCTAAATTCCAATCAATGGTGGAGTTTAAACAGTTTAAAAGATTATATGGAAATCACTTGGAATTTTATTTTGCTACTCACTTAAAAAGAGAATATATGTTTGTTTGTTATGATTTTGAAGAAAGTAAATATATATATTTGTCGATGATGAGGGAAGAAGGTGATATTAATATAGTATTATATGATTGATAAATAACTTCATCTTTTAAAGTTGAAAATATAGACTATGATTTTATATAGATATGGATGAATAATATGTATTGGATTTTAGTTTTCAATATAATGATATCTAAGGGTTGATTTAGGCGTTTGAAAGGGGTTCCAGGTTTGTGACATGAAATTGAATGTATGAAGTTCCAAGGCATTCAAACAAGAAAAATCTATGCAAAGAATTAAGTAGAAAAAAAGATTACTATACAAAATTGAAGTTTCAAGAATGGATTATAAGAATGAAAAATCTATCTGTTGTTGGGCGACCCGTATCTATTTAAAATTTACTATTCACTCTTTAATTCCTATCATTACTCATCCTTAAAAGCATCCAAGCTTCAAGATGGAAGGAAGGGAATTGTTGTAAAACATCTTACTAACACTCCAAAATAGACTCTGGTTTACAAACTTGCATCAGTGCAATTAGTAACATGGTACGAACGTGGATTCGACGAGGATCCAACCAATAATGAAAGATGTGAAAGATAGAATCCAAATTCGTCTAGTGATACAAGGATTGTTTAATAAAGATTGCAAATACAATGCAGTAAACTCTTAATGATTTGCTCACAAAAATATGCAAACATTTCTACGTGGACAGCGCTATGGAACCAAAAAATTCATTCTTCCTACCATTATTTTTTTTAAGCTTCAAATTATTTTTTTCAAATTTCATAAAAAGAAAGTTAATAAATAAATTTATTAATACATGAAACCTCCAAATAAATTAATGAAACTTAACCATTGTTTATTTTGAAAGTAAAGTCTAATGACATATGTCTTATGTCAAATTGATAATCTCAAATTATCTCTGTTTTCGAACAAATTATAAAATGATACTGATAAAAAATTTGATGGTGTGTGACAAATGCAATTACGATAATATATACTGTCAAAATATACAATCTGAGTCAGTTTTAGGTAAAAATATTTGATGATACAATCTTATTTTTATTTATTATAATAATAATAATAAATATTAATAATAAATAATTAGTTTAATAAGTTTTATTTTTATTATTATTTGTAATAATAATTATTAATTTATTATTATTATTTCAAAAATAATAATTATTTATTAACTAATATTATAATTATTAAAAAAACTTAAAAAGTAAAAAAAAAAACACAGAATCATTATTATTTCATTAAAAGACAAAAATAAAAACTGAAGTTGACGCTTGTATTAACTTCAACTTCGATGTTACAACTGAAACAAACTTTCCATTAAAATAGAATGTAAAAAAAAGTGAAAACAATATAAAATACATCTTTAATGTTAAGCAAACAAATGACAAACCATTTTTATTTTCTTCTTTTCTTTATTCATTTTATTTTTAAGGTTCTTTTGATAAAAAATACCTTAGAAAAAAATGAAATAAAAAAAGATATACATATTTATTTGAAAAAAAATAACATAAAAGAAAAGAAAAATATTTATTTAAAAATAATAAATTAAAATAAAAATAAAGTATTTTTATGATTATAAAAGTGTTTGTGTAATTATTAATTAACTTTTAAAAAATAAAATTTTAAATAGTTAAAATCTATATTTTAATATTTTTATATAATAATTCTCATATTTATCACATGTATTAAAATAATATCATTAAACGAACACATAAATTAAAACGTTATAGAAAAACATCTCTTTCATTAATTCATTCATACATGAGTAAGTAGAAGATGTTAATAAAAAGAAATGTCTTTCTTTTAAAAATTAAGATAGAGGTAGAAGAAAAGGCTGATGTAATATCTTTCAAAAAGAAAAAAATTAATATATTTTAATATAAAATTAAAATAAAAAATAAAATTTTGAGATGATAATGGCATATCCATGCTTATTTGTAGATCCATTCCGCCTTTCTATATATTTTCCTCATAATTTTTTTCATATTAATTACTTTTCACTTACAATTTTTTTCTACATGTAATCACTAATTATTTTGTTTAATTTTTATGTGGATACTAATCAATTGGTTCCTTATTTTTTTTAAATCGATATAATTTGGTCCTATCAATCCAAATTTACTTACAGGTGACAGTACTACTGTTTATTATAAATCATTTAACTTAAAAAAAATATTATTCAGCGATGATTTTTAATTATCACTTTTTAAAACAGTAATTTATAGAATATGCTAATACAATAAAATTTAATTATATTAATTAATAAATAATCACATTATAATTAAAAATATTTTAAAAAATTATATATATATATATCAGTTATGTATTAATTAAATAAAAATATTGACAATTTATTTTATAATTATTAAATTCTTAGTTTTTATTTATGATTTAATAATTAAAAATTAAATGACATTTTTAATGTCACAATAGTAAACTTTAACTGTTAAGTGAGTGTGAGTTGTAATAATTTTAAAAGTTAGGAATTAAAAAAATTAAACCTTATTTTTCAATCTTATGAAAATAAGAAAAAGAAAAAGTTGAACCATTAAATCAAAGTGTATGGCTCAAGTGACATCTGTGTGAAAACCTAATTGCAGAAATGGAAATGGAAAGGTGAGACAAAGGCACGAGCATAAGATGGTGTGGTAAAGTGTGTTAGATTTGGTCATTATTGCGCCAATCCTGGAGATTTTCTTCACAAACACTCATCCCATCCCACGCATTCATACTTGCCCCTCTCTGTGGACCACACCAAACTCTTCTTCTCTTCCTTGCCACATTTATCACAGATCCTATAAACCCTCTTCACTTGGTCTGCATACCATAGTTAGTTCAGCATCTGAACATTGGATATTACAATCCAATTCGGTTAGGTCTAATTCCAACTACATGGCAATGCAAATGGTTGAAGGGGGACAGAAGAGTGACGGTGGAACCAATGAAAATAACGCTGTATAAAGACCAGATGCTGCTTCAATGCATGGGTCCAATTTCAGACTTATCCAAACTATGCCGCGTGCTGGATCAGATACTAGATAGATACACATCACAAAACAAGAGAAGAGGAAGCCATGGTCAACAAACCTTACCACCAACCAAGCAAATGTTAATTAATTCAAACATAGAACTACAACAAGCCCTTTATCAGAAATGGAAAAATTTAAATAGAGAACTGTTTGGACGAATTCTACTGAACTTATTTGTTCTTCTTTCTCATTTTTTATGTATCGAACTGAGCGTGGACATTGTTAGTTTTTTAGTGGCTCCGGATGTATGTAGAATCTAATGGACCATGCATGTGTACTACGTTTGTTTTAGATCCATGTAGCACATAGGGTTGCTGTCGGTGCTGTTCAACCAATTAATTTCACAACCTTCAGTGTTAATCACACTTCTTCAACTCTCGTTGGGGCTAGAGATAATTTTGATATTGAATAGATGATAACTACATAAAGTTTACGAAGATAGATATCGTTCCTCCCGTTTATTGATTTGTCATGTCCATTGCAAAAGTTGGTAACACTGTTCTCTTTCATAATGCCTCATTAAAAAGTGCAGTAGATGGTTTGCCTGTTTTTCACATCATACCAATCCTGTGTCGGTAGTTATGAGAATCTTTTGTGGACTTCTCTCTCATGCTTTTTAACTTGCAAAATTGATTTTATAACATTCACAATAAAACTTACAATTACATTTTCATTTAATAAGAATCTATTAAATGAACATTTAATTTAGCTTACCCTAAGCCTTCAATGAAAGAACATAGGAAAGGAATTATTTAAACTTTGGAACCAAAAATCAATGAATTAGAAAAAGAGATTTAGTGATAAACACTAATAACTTTTTTGGTCACTAATTCTGAAATCCCACAAACTTAATCTTCTCAAAAATTACATATAAGTTATAATTGCATTTTTAATGTAAGAAGACAAACTCACTTTTTCACTTTTTTTCAGGGTCTAGCAACTGCCAAAGAGCCGTACTTTTGCTCTTATCTCTCTATATTCCAAGCATATAAACAAGAAGAGAAGCCATACATAGTGGATGTTTCAGTGTGTGTAAGAGACTGGACAAGAGATGAAGCATTTTGCCGTGGTCTTTCTTTTGGCCATTCTGGTCCCTCAGGAGTGTTTCCATGCCACCGTGGAAGCAAGAGATGGTTTCGTCAGAACCAGAGGCATCCACTTCACGCTGAATGGATACCCTTACTATGCAAATGGCTTCAACGCCTACTGGTTAATGTATACAGCTTCTGACCCATCTCAGAGATTCAAGGTTTCAAATGCCTTCCGAGAAGCAACAAGTCATGGCCTTACTGTTGCTAGAACTTGGGCCTTCAGTGATGGTGGTTATAGACCCCTACAATATTCCCCTGGCTTCTATAACGAGCAAATGTTCACGGTAAGAGACCAAGAGTTTCGACATTTTTTGCCTTTTAACATATCAGTTCTTGTTGGATGTATTATGTTTATGTTTTTATTTTTAATTTCTCTCTATTTGTGGTATGCAGGGGCTGGATTTCGTTATATCTGAGGCCAGAAAGTACGGAATTAAGCTCATACTGAGCTTGGTGAACAACTATGAAAACTTTGGAGGCAAGAAGCAGTACGTGAACTGGGCTAGAAGCCACGGACAGTACCTTACTTCAGATGATGATTTCTTCAGGAGCCCTGTTGTTAAGGGTTACTACATGAACCATGTCAGGGTTAGTAGAATTTCTCTTGTCTTGCTTGGTAGAGTTGTGTGTGCTGATTAAAACCTTGGATGGTGAAATTTGCTTCCTTTAACCAGACAAGTTCTTGTACTTTTTTGTCTCTTCTAATTTGTGTTCCTTCTACCGTTACCATCTAATCTAAATACAAAGGCATTAATCTCTTGTTATAATCACTTTTTCATTTGTTCTGCTCCTAATTCTAAAATTAACAGATTTCGAGTTCTGATTTTTGTGCATCTTCCACAGACTGTTCTTAACAGATACAACAGATTCACCGGTACCCATTACAAAGATGACCCAACAATCATGGCGTGGGAGCTTATGAACGAGCCTAGGTGTACATCGGATCCTTCAGGAAGGACTATTCAGGTCAAAAATCATTACTTGCTTGTTCGCCTTCCAACCCTTTTCTTTTCCTTTTTTCTTTTCCTTTTGACTTTCTACCTCTTTCTCCGTCATAGATATTAGTGCTCCATTTGAACCAAATCTAGCTCTAAAATGTAGTACTTTATTCATAAAACGATGAAAATTTTAAGGATATGATTAGGACAAATTAACCTAGAGTAGCGTCCTTGTCAAGTAAAGACGTAAATCACGGACCTGGTTTCGTTCTCAATCATGAGTTGACTCGTTAACTTTCCACTTTCTTGTTTGATTGTAGGCGTGGATCACGGAAATGGCCTGGTTTGTGAAGTCCATAGACAGGAACCACTTATTGGAAGCAGGACTGGAAGGGTTTTATGGTCAATCAACACCACAGAGAAAAAGATTGAATCCAGGTTTCGACATAGGCACAGACTTCATTGCAAATAACCGAATCCAAGCCATTGATTTTGCAACAGTCCACTGTTATCCCGACCAATGGTTAGTTAGTTTATTAACTAACCGAAACAATTCAGTTAATACATTCTCAAATTCATATTTTTAATTTGATTGCACCATAAACAGGGTATCGAGCTCAAACGAGCAGGATCAGCTTTCGTTCTTGAACAACTGGCTCAGTGCTCACTTCGTCGACGCACAATACACCATAAGGAAACCGATTCTGGTGGCAGAATTTGGGAAATCGTTTAGAGGTTCGGGGTACGAGGCGTACGAAAGGGATCAAGTGTTCAATGCAGTGTATTACAAAATATACGCTTCGGCTAAGAGAGGAGGAGCTGCAGGGGGGGCTTTGTTCTGGCAGCTTCTCACCGGGGGAATGGAATCTTTCCAAGACGGGTATGGAATCATGCTTGGGCAGAGTTCCTCTACGGGTGATCTCATTGCGCGCCAGTCTCGGAAGCTGTATCTGATTCGGAAGATCTTCGCGAGGGTGGCGAACATGCGGCGATGGCGAAGATCCAGAGCCAAGAGAGGATTTTCTGGCTCTGGAGGTGGGAACGGAGGTAGCCACTTTGGCAACTGAAACGGAACGGAATTACTACCTTACTACTCGCATATTACACTGTACACAGTTAAAGTTTGTCTGTTTGTGTTGTCGGAAAACATGTTTCATACACGCTTGGGTTTCTCTACCAAGTGTTTCGGAGGTTCATCGATACACTGCCATGGAGGATGTAGACTTATGTTTTCTTGGTTTCACTTTCTCTCGCAGAGCAAAAGCAGCTCTTAAGTTTTTCGATGGTGTCTACTTGTAGGGTTACTCAACCTCACTTCTAGTCTTTAACTTCGTAATCAGAAGCTTATTATTATAATTTATAACCTCAAGCTTGAATTAAAAGAATATTATAAATTCAAGTTATGTCATTACAATTTTTTTTTTCTTGCGTTTGTGCTTGATATAATTCAAACGTTTTTTATGTTGATACCACGGGCTAAAACAATAATTCAATATCAAACAAAATATTATTAAATCAAGCTGTTTTATTGATACATAATTATTAGACGTATCTTTTAAATATATATAACATTAGGTGAAGCTGGGATGACTCAAAATGTAATGAAAACTTGCTTTCAAATGCATCAAATTTAATTTTATAAACCCAAAACTGATCAAAGGTTTTCTCGGAAGTAGACGGAGGGAGTCCAAGAGTGAAAGAAAAAAAAAAGACTTTTTTTATGAAAGTGAGTTTGTACTGAAGTTATTTGAAATCCAGTAAGTGCTCATTTTGGATATTAATATTTTTAATTGAAGGTAAAAGTATTATTTTATATTTTGGTTACGTAGTTCAAGACCTTTTCTTGCATTTTCCTTGAAATAATAAATTTATCCAGAGGATCAAAACTCTGTGGACTTTGCATCTTTAATCGATAGCTCAATCAAAGACCTTATTTAAGACAAATTTGAACTCCTTTAAACACATCCAATTGTGTTTATCTTAGTGTAATGATGTAATTTAGTTTTTTAAACCCTGGTTTGGACTTTATTTAAACACATACAAACATTTCTGCAGCATTTTGTGGCGCTGAACTTCCTTCAGAAACATCTAATCTGGAGTTGGATTCAAGAGCTAATGACTTCAGCCAGTATTGTCATAAACAAGTTTCAGTTGATAACCAGGCAACATGACATAAGACCTTAATCTAGAAAGAAACAAGATGAGATGTATCATTGGCCATTAAAACACATTGCAATGTTTTACACATCTTGAAGTTCTAGTCCTCCTGAATCCAATAACGAATCGCAAATAAAACAAAACCTATGCAGAGTCCTACAGACCCCAAAACAACAACGATTCTAACCCACAGAGAAGATACAAAAGCATCCAGTACAAGACCGTTCCATAGCCAGTACCATAAAATAGAGAAAATGGAACCAATAACAGCTCCAACAACCACTTGGCTCACTGTATGAAGTTGTTGTGACACCCTCAGGTACGACTGGAAACATAGAACAAGCATAAGCAACTGATGCTCACAAATAGTTTCTATTATGATGATACTATAATCAAATTCAGAAATTTCCAGGTCATCGACAAGGAAATTCTATAAACTGATTCAGTTGGCTAGAGTAATGAAGTTTTCTGTGTGACAAAATGCTAATTCATAAACAGCTTATATTCACACTCAATACACGTTCACTGCTCTTAATAAACTAATGATTAAGGTATTCATTAATGTCTTACCCAATTGCCCTAACTGGAATGTTATACACATTCCAATACCTACTTTCAAGTTTTTTGCTTTATCAATCGATGATGATTCCTATGAACAGACTTTTCAGCTTTTGCCGCATGAGATCAGAATACTTTGAAAACAATAAGCGTCAAATAAGTTGTCAAATGGCACGGCACAAGCCAAGTCACAGTGTTGTAAATCTAGAAAAGTATACAGTATTTTGTAATGATGCACATGGATCTAATGCAAGAGATAATGTAGATATGACAATTGAGATAACCATTTTAAATGAATCATAAGCAAAAGCAGAAATTTGAGGTACCAAAAACACAAGGAATAAAAGCTATACTAACGAGGCAACAAAAGAAAGGCTAAAATGGAAATATTATACACTTACAAAAAAAGAACCAAAAGTCATGACCAATCCACTGATGGCAATGGTGAATATGTTTAGCCCAAGCCATTCTATGCCTGTAATATAATAAGAGAAACAAACAAATGATCATAGTGAAACCATATAACTCTATTTGGGTTCAAAAACCAAAGAAATAAAAAAACATCAGCACCTCCATGAAGTACAAAGACAACAAATCCTAATTAAAAAAATAAAACTTTTGTTTGTATTAGAGTCATTCACATGACTGCCATGGCAATTATATTGAAAGAGTCATTTATTTCATGAAGCAATTCTAAAACAACAAAGCAACTAAGTTTTGCCAAGGAATTTTCAAACTACGATTCCCATGTTATCAAAAGATTGAAGATATTTGGTATAGCTACACTGTGTTCTGTTGTTGGGTTGGGTACTTGCGAAGGGGCTGAGACTAGGAGATTCACGAATAGATATAAATCAATGATATAAGAAAATATGACACCACCTTCAATACAAAATCTTAAAACGTTAGGTTATGAATTTTTCTTACTTATAAATTACTTAACTTTCCTATTTCTACACAATTTGAAAACTTACATTTCAATCCCCAACATTTATATACTGTTTTTAAAAATAATTTTTAACTTTTTCGTTTTTAAAAACTGAAAAACCAAAACTGTTTAAAGACCTTTTTTTTTCTTTTTAATTTTGTGTTTTCATTAATGATATATATGTCTACATTAGTGGTTTCACTACATCACTCATTTTTGTTCAAGTTGTCGAAGTCATCCTCCAACTTCTGATGTGACTCTGTCACAATCAATGCTATCTTCCTTCATCTAAAAGAGCTCTTCAAAATTAATTTTTAAAACAGTTTTTTGAAATTAAAAAACAAAATTATATCAAACAAATTCTAAAATTTACAAACACGAATACAAGATTAGTTCCTTTAACCAGAACATTGATCACAATAACCTTTTTAGCTTCCATAACAAGAACGTATACTAAAAATGGAAAATATTAACGAGTGCTGTGTACAATCGCTATATCATTGGCACCTTCCAAACAGAATATATAAAAATATTTATGCAATGAACACAAAACTAAGATTTAGGAACCACCTCTCTGAGTAATTTTTTTTTTCTTAAAGAAACAACTGTTAAGAGATATTACCTGACAAAATAACAAAGAAGACAGCAAAGAATATGGATTGAGAATGTGAAGATGGCATCCCTGGGTCAGATTTCAGGGTTGAAGGTCGTTCCTGATTCAGTATATGTTTGAGAAAAACAGAAAGCAATGCATTCAAAATTGACCCTGCTGTGAACCATAAGGCTTCTGCATCATGTCTCCAAACAATGAAACCACCGAAGAGGGCAGTCACTATCCACTTGCTCTGTAAACAATGGCACCAAATGCATTAGCTTATAATATAGTTAAACTTTAATGTGAACATAATTTTACAATGGTACCCCTTAAGATGAGAATTCAAACAGATTATTGAAATCAAAGTTTCAATTCAAGTAAACCCATCATCTTAAACTCAGTTTTATAAGTCTAAAAGGTTTATCATATGAAATGCTTGTGAAAGAATTTATCTGTTTATAACTTTAAACAATATCAATTTAAAGGAGAATTGATCATAGAGGCAAAAACCCCATAGCCAGATATGGTGATTAAGGGTTCAAAAACTGCTCCAAGAAGGAAAATGAAGTCCTATAAGACCCCCATCCATTGTCTGAAGAACATATATAGAAAACTAAGAATTTTATGGGAGAATCTGTGAATAATTCAAATATGTCAGCGACACTAGAAGGTTGCAAAAAACTTGGTGGTACATGTTCTCAAGAGAAGGATATATCTAATATGAATTCAGTGACTAGGGCATATTTTGCTGAATTTATGGATGTGCAGCAGCTGCATGAAAGTCTTAAGAAAGTGGTAATGAAAGATGTTCGGTGGAGTATTTTGGTTCTCCCTCCTTAATAACTAGCTTTTAAGGGTGGCTTTCCCAGGTGTTTGGACACATATCAATTGATGCCTAAGTCCATCATTCATAGTGTAACTGACCTCTGGAAAAAAAAAAAAAAAAAAAAAGACATTGTTAGAGTGCCACTATTTCTGGTCGCTCATATTAGCAGTTCTATCCATCGAACAATAAGCCATGAGTATGAAGTATGCTCTTAGAGCTGGGTATGCCTAGATTCTGGGCTTTTGGCTTTCTTTATTTTTGTTCCCTTGCATCCATCTTGTATTCTAGCTGCGTAGCAGAAAAGATAAGCAGTAAAAACAAATATACTTCAGTGGAAACTAAGGCTGATTGTGTATTAAGGAAGTCTTTTCCAAAACTAATCCATGAGTACTTCATTATTTAGGGAACATTCAACAACTTGATCCTATTTAGATAAGTTTGTCCATAAGCATCTATAGAAGAAGAAAATAAATAACATGAGTTTTTTCATAAGCTAAAGTTATCTTATACACATATAAAAGAATAAGGTGATTTAAATAATGAAAAACTCAATTCAATTTGATTTTCATTTTCTTCTCATAGAATTGAGTATAGATTGAGTAGCTTCTGCATTATTTATTTATTTATTGATCTTACATGATTTTTTGGTTTTACTTCGACATGCTGTCAAACACACCTACTTAAGTGCTTATTCAATATTCAGATAATTCTAAATAAGTTCCACAAGAACTCTTCCAAACGCCCCTTTAATAGCACAATGAACAACAATCTCCTTCCATTCTATCAACAAAAAATGAATAAGAATTCTCAAATCATGATTGACTAATTGCTCTCAGATAGCACTTTCTCCACTGGAAATTTTTAGATTTCGAAAATCTTGGTTAGTAAAAAAAAAATGTAATGCTATGTTTCAGAGATTGGATTGCATATTCAAATGAACCTAGTAGTAAGAAAGTGAGCATTTAATCCACGGGTCTAGCAAAATTTTTTTTTATAACATGGGTTTGGATTCTTTCCTCCCACTCAGTAACATGATACAGATTATACAGTCATGTTAAAAAGAGAGACAAATTTTTATTTCAATTTAACTACATAATTAACTAGTGAATCCTCTTCCCAACCACGGGTTCATGGTTAATCCTTATATGATAAAAATGTATCTTTTTTTCTTGTAACCATATACCATTCTGCTAAAATTCATTGCTTATAACAAATTTCATGCATTTTAGAAACCATATCAAAAGAAACCTAAGACATTTAAATATATATATATATATATATATATATATATATATATATATATATTGATTTTCCTAAAAGTGTAGACATTCCCTCCTCTTGGAGATGGGTATAATAAGAGTGAAAATTCAGAATTCTAGTGGCCAAAACATGATTGAAGAACATTAGGGAGGATTACGAACCAGTCGATTGAGAGTGTATTCCAAATCATGGGACAAAAATCTTGACCAAAACGGGGATGGTCCATCGATGAGAGCTTCTTGCTCAAACACTTGGATGTTTTCATCGCCTTTTCCATCTCTTGAAGCAGAAGTTTTCACAGATTCATCCATGGTTTGCGTTGCCCAGAAGGAGTTCCTACTAAGAACAGGTTTCCTTGAAACAAATCCACTACAAAGTAACGACCTTGAAGGAGAAAAACGATCAGGAAATGAAGTGCTTTTCAAGTTCCTCTGATTAAGCCAATTTGACCGCTGAGAAAGAAAAGAGGGAGTGTGGCAAATTGAGGATGGCGCCGCCATGTGAGAAGGAAAAGATCCTCTCCAGTTTATTAGAAGAGTTGACACTCCAATCCAACATGGCAAAGACAGTCCTTGTCAGTGCTATTTATTGTCTAAGAAAGAAGCTGCTAAGGCTAACCCAGTTCATTCTTTGTCCACAATTCCAAAATATTGGAGAGGACACATTTTTCTTAATAAAACCAAACAAGTTTTCAACTTTCCTATTTATACATGTTTTATGGATATTTAAAAAAAATTATATATTGTCTTAAACATTTTAAAAAATTAATTTAGAAATCATGTGAAAATGATTTTAATTAGTTCGTAATATAAAATATTACAGTATGTGTTTGCTAATCTCATGCTTTTAGAGTTTATAATCATTGCAAATTAAAAAATTTTATTATCCAATTTGTAATGCTTAACATTATCTAATTAATTAAACAAATATTTTAAATAATATGTATTTTATGATACCATTCTAGTTTATTTGAACAAAATTAATTTTAGTATGATTATTAAAAAAGATATGTCTGTATTTTTTATTACCCAATGTGTAATTTTTGTTAGTACATAATTTTTATTTTTATTTTGCTATTCAATACTAAGGAAGATTTTGTAAATTATCTCAATAAGATAACAAAAAGTACCTTATAAAAAATAGATAGAGAAATTTTTTTTCATTCTTAACATCTAAAAATATAAATATCCAAAGAAAGGGCTCAAACAATATAATGGGTGTGATATGTAAAATTAAATTATTTGAATCTTTAAATTAAATTATTAAAATTAATTTATAAGTATTCAAATAACAAAATTGTACAAGATTTAAAGAAATTGAAAAAAATATATTTTATTTCTTAATACAAATATAAATATATAATTAGTAAGTTGAACAGTATCTAGTCATTAAACCTTTACATTATAATTATATCATTCAATTAAATAATATTAATTGAAACTTATATATGAATTCTTATTTTATATATGTTATTTGATCAATTTTGCAAAATATATTTTTATAGTTATATAATATGTATGTTGATCGACTTGTGTGTTAGTATATATAATTTTTTTATTATTTTATCTTTAATATTATATATTTATTTTTAATATTTTCATAATAAAATTTTAACCTCTTTTTAAAATATATAAATCACATGTACATGTCTCTACTAGTTTTTTAATTACAGTTGACATTTTTTTCCTTTTTTTTTTCATCATGAAAATATTTCTAGTCAAAACTGAGATTAATCGGTCATAACGTTATTTTTTTCTAATAGGGATATTTATGTTTTGAACCTTGAATTTTTTGTACTGAAATCAATTCATAGAATATGTTGAGAAAGAAAAGGTGTGAGATTTAGTTATGTTTAATAATATAAATAAAAATAAATAATTAATAATTTGATGAGAAATTATAATTAAAAAATATTTTATTTTAAGAATATTTTCAGACCTGAAATATCATATATATATATATATATATATATATATAAAAATTACAATAATATAAATAATTAAAAGTTATAAAGTTAATATTAATACAGGAAAAACATCGTACTGACATGTGTGCCATGAAAAATACATTTTCTTTTTTCCTCTCTTTCAGATAAGAAATTTCGTGTAGTTAATAAAACTCCAAAAATCTAGATTTTTTAGTTACAAAACACCAAAATTTTGGATGTTTTATTTTATTTTTTGTTGATCAAGTTACCATCATGATTCTGAGATTGATTCCCATTCTCTCATGGTTTCCTAACCTAAATCGAACAGATTCGTCAATTTATCCTTTAAATAATAATAATAAAAACAAAATTTCTTGGTGTTTCAATTATGGGCTAATGGGCTTCTTACTCCGCATCCGTAGATAGAATTTAGATTTCCAAATTTTCTTGAAAAAAAATAAAGAGTTGGGTATTAAAAGAATTAGAAATGTAATTCAATAAATATGAATCCCTAAACAGTATACACACATTGTACAATTCCGTTTTATAGTTAGATATCTCAATAATCTGTGTTATCCAAATTTATAGAAATAATTAATAATAATAACAATAATAACATATTTAAAAAAATATATATTTCAATTTTCCCTTCTAGTAAATATTATAATATTAAAATATTTGGTATTGTAAAATTATTAGTAAGATTGGTGCCTAATAAATATTTTTTTTAATAATTACTTTTCTTATCTTACATAAAAAAAATCCTCAAATGTAAACCAATTTAAAAGTCAATGAACTTTCTACATATTTATTTGTTTCCCATACATGAATTGTAATTACGAAATGCCAAAGGCGTAAAATCAAGATATAGAAAGGAAAACAGAGATTTTTTTTAAAGTTAATGAATTCTGAGAAATAAAAGGTTAAAGGAGTGAAATTTGTAAGAATATTAAAATACTTTTTTTTTTTTTAAAGGAAAAAGTTTGGTAGCTAGCAAAGCAAAATTTATTCAATTGAAAAAAAAATTAAAAACAATCATGATATAAAAGAATGCAAAATTGAGAGTAAATGAAGGGTTTGGCGTGTGTATGTGTGGTGGGTGGAGAGCAATGAAGTTAACGACGCCTGGCCTCAACATGACACGAAACATATGTTAGTTGAAAAGTTGAACGGGTACACTCCCAACCCAACACCCAAGTGTTTTACTGAAGAAGAAGAAGAAGCCTTCATTTCAAAAAAGAAAAATATATATAAATATATTGATAAATTAATACCAGGATAGGAAAGAATAAAAAGAAAAATAAAGTAAGAGAGAGTATTCAAATACTAAGCAAATACGGAAACATGAGTGGTAATGTAATGAAGAGGATATGAAAAGAGGTGCAGGAGCGATTTTACGCTAAAAATCCATAAATAGACTGATGCAACAGTACGGACCTAAAATGCAAATTTGTTGTAAACGAGTAAGTCACTTTTAAGAGATTAGAAGTGCAAAATTAACAGACACAGAAGAGTAGATAGCAGCAGGTCTGATAATTTAATTTTGGCACGCCAGTTCCAGAGAGGTTTGGAGCAGTTTTGATTCTTTTCTTCAATTACATGCATCCTCAGAATCAGTCAATGTTTCTACTGCAACTTTCAACACTTTACTATAAGAAAGGGAGTAAATAAATTCAAATAAAACACATCACTTTTAATTTTTAAAAAGTGTAAATGAAAGGAATAAATTAAAAAGTTACTTTTCACTATTTTACATTTGTCTTATGGATTTGTGCAGAACTCCTACATAGTTTAGGTTTGTTTGTGTAAAGTTAATTTTAAAAGAATTAATGTTTGTTTTAAAAAACTAGAAATAATATTTTGTTGATTAACAACCTCCTTTATTTGGTGATTAAAGAATCTACAGAGATTGTTGTTGAGCAGGATAAGTAAGGATACATCAACTTTAGACGGGTCTTTTGGCAGTTATTCCATGCATATACGATGGAATAAAATTTTAAATGCTATGTAAAAAAGATTGTTGAATCAATAATATACACTCGTAGCCATAGAAAGTAACTTTAGTGGAGATTATATTTGATTTGGTGTTAGGTTAAGAAATATATATAATAAAATTAAGGGGTTCAATGGATGTCTAAGATATTAATCTCTTGAAAAAGCACGTTTAGCGTAGGAAAAATGGAGGTCGCAGAGTCGGAGTGTGTATATAAGAAGTGGAAGATGTGGAAGGAGAAAAGGCTTTCTCTCTCTCCCTCCCTCTCTCTTCATCGATTCACTGGCCATGGACGCATTTCAGTTGAGCAACTTGAAAGTTGGGAAAAGAAGCATGGTTAACAGCATTACGAAGACGCTTCGCACTCTCGAACTATGCGTCGCTCTCTTCTTCCTCTTGTGGTTCCTCACGCGCCTCCCTTTAGCTCTGCGACTCTCCGCCGACTACCTCCGCAATCCTCTCGTCGTCTTCGCCGTCTTCAACGCCATCATCGCCACCCTCCTCGCTCAGTCCCGCCGATTCGCGCAATCCGTTTCTGATACTTCGGTGGCAGAGGAAGAGCAGTACCAGATCGGTGACACATGTGTGAACAGTGATTCAGACGTTGCAGCAGATCACCTTGATACGAGAAAAGTTTATTACCGGAGTTTGTCGGAGGGAAAGGGCGAGGATGGGTATAAGACGGCGGGACGAGAACTCCAGCGATCGGAGACGGAGAAGGCGCGAGAAAAATCGTATCCGCAGGATAAGCTGAGCAACGAGGAGTTCCGGCGCACGATAGAGGCGTTCATTGCAAAGCAAATGAGGTTGCTGCGGGAAGAGTCGTTGGCCATTTCGCTTTGTAATTAACAAGCCAAGATAATAAGCATAAAATCAGAAAGGAATCTGGGCATTGAAATCAAACTGTTTATTACTTTCTTTTCTTCCCTTCCATACTCTGTAGCTTCTTACTACTGTGTATAATTAAGTTAAACAACAAGAATGTAATGTAACTAGCCTTTCTTATTTTTGCTTCTTTCTGTCAGAGGAATTGATGTTTTGCACTTGCTCCGCAGTTTTTATTATGCTAGAACATGTACGAAGAATTAAGCTCTCCATTGCTTCAATTACTGTTATAGTACATATAATTCACCTTTTATTCTGCCAAAGATCTTAACTTTTCATTTATACCGTTGAAGGGCAAAGATGATTTTCAACTTTCAAAATAATGAATTTTTTTGTCGCATGACAGTAAACAGGCTAGAACGAACACTCAAAGTCACATAGTGATTGAGTAAAAAAATATGGATAGAAAAAAATATATTAATTAATTGTTCATTAAAAGTTTTTAACATACTTATATAATCATTTTGTAATTAATAATAGCAAATTAATACTTAGTAAATTATATATAATTATTTATATTTTAATTACTATTTTGATAAGGTTATTCCTTCTACAATTCATAATTTGTTATCATCCATTCTCATTTCTTATATTCAATTATTCAACAAAAATATTCAATGTAAAACTTGGATTAAGAGTTATGTACTCGATCCTACCTGAACACAAAACAACAACAATTTTTTTCTTACACCAAGAAATTAAGAAATTGGAGTATCTTGAAATAAGAACGTATGATTTGTAATGTTCTTTTTAACAATTTTGAATATTAGAATATTCAATCATATTATGATTAGAATGGTTAAATTTGTCAGAAACATAAATTTAAGAAATATAATTTTATAAATAATTGTTCGCTTATTTTAATAACATCTTAATAATAAATAAATAAGGTTATTTTGATGTCTTCAAATTTTGTATTACAAATATCTTATTATTTGTTTATATAGAGTCGTGTCTCCTATTTTATCTCTTTTAAACTTGTCAAGTGTATGTTGAGACTTAATTATAATTCAATATCTAAAATATTTTCAATACCTTATAGCATGTTTACTTTTATGCATGAAAATCTCACATTTAGTTTTTTTGAACTCTATTATAAAAAAGTTTTCTAAGTGAGTCATTTCAAATTCAGTCTTCGTATTCTACTTGTACGCATCAATTTCTTCAATTTTCTTTTTTTGTCACTAATAGGTCATCAACATATAAACACGATTAGCAAGTCAGACATATTCATTCTATTTATATATACATCATAGTTAGTGGTTCACTTCACAAATCCAAGCTATAATAAGAAGTCACTCATTCTTCTGTATTAGACTCTTTGAGCTCGGTTTAAGTCATGTAAAATCTTATGCAAGTTGTATACTTGTTCTTCTTTGTTGGTAGCCAACTGCTTACTCCAAACTAAGCGATGAGAACGAATTAGCCCTCTGCATCCTTCACAAGATTGATCTTCATTATCAACTCATCATTGTGTGAGAATCTTATATTGATAAGGCACCTTGATATGACTAAGGTGTAAGTTACATGACTATCATTCATCCATGACTGGATGCAAACTCATTAAAGACTACTTTCGATGGATCTTTTAACTTCAATTTGTGGTCGTAAATAAGAAAAAAAATATTTAAAGAAACTTAACTTACTTTAAACCTAGAGGGATAGGATATGTTATTTAACTTTAAACTTATGTGATTATGATATAAATACTTCCTCCTCTCAAGTGATTCATTTAATAAGATAAATTTGATATTCATATGGTGTATTGGTCAACAATGATTGCTTGTCACAAAAATCACTAGTCTTACGGTTTCCAATCTTGCAAATGGGGCAAAAACTTCATCATAATTCATGCTTTATTCACTACAAAAAAAAAACCCTATTACCTACGGAATAATACCTACGGATACAAATCCGTAGGTAAATTTTACATTACCTACGGATATTACCCACGGATAAAAATCCGTAGGTAAATTTTACATTACCTACGGATATTACCCACGGATGAAAATCCGTAGGTAAATTGTACATTACCTACGGATATTACCTACGGAATTCTATCCGTAGGTAATTACCTACGGAATTCTATCCGTAGGTAATTACCTACGTAATTACTATCCGTAGGTAATGTAATCCGTGGATAATTCCGAAGGTAATTACCTACGTAATTACTATCCGTAGGTAAAGTGTACATTACCTACGGATATTACCTACGGAATTCTATCCGTGAGTAATTATCCATTACCTACGGATATTATCCGTAGGTAATATCATCCGTGGGTAATTCCGTAGGTAATTACCTACGGAATTACTATCCGTAGGTAAATTATATTAAACTAAAAGAATTGTCACTAGCAAGAATCGAACCCAGTACCTTACAAGTTGAAAACTGATACTTCAACCACTAAACTATTAGGATATTCTAATAATAATTTACAACTAAATTATACTTATATTAATTCGTGTAAATATATAAATATATAAATATATAAATATATAAATATAAAAATATAAAATATATAAATATATAAATATATAAATATATAAATAGATAAATATATAAATATATAAATACATAAATATATAAATACATAAATATATAAATATAAATATATAAATATAAATATATAAATACAAATGTATAAATGTATAAATATATAAATATATAAATATATCAAAATATAAATATATTTTATATTTATATATATTTTATATTTATATATTTTATATTTATATATATTTTTTATATTTATATATATTTTATATTTATATATTTTATATTTATATATTTAGACGGATAAATATAAATATAATTTATTTATAAATTATTTTCAAAATATCCTAATAGCTTAGTGGTTGGAGTATCGACCTCCAACTTTGAGGTATCGGGTTCGAATCCTGCCAATGACAATTCCCTTAATCTAATAATAATTCAAAGTTTCGAAAATATAATAAATAATAAAAATATAATATAAAGGGGAGGGGGTTGTAATAAATAAAAATATTTTGTTTTGTTAAGGTGAGTGCATTACCTACGGATTATAATCCGTAGGTAATTACCGCGAGTGCATTACCTACGACCAAATTACCTACGGATTTTCTACGGAAAGAAATCCGTAGGTAAAGTGACATTATCTATGGATTTTTGTCATTACCTACGGATTTTACCCGTAGATAATAAGCGTTTTTTTTGTAGTGATTTTTGTAAAAAATCTTTTGTGTACAAGCATGTCCTTGTATTTGGCTACCTCCCCTTTTAAGGTCTTTTTTCATTTTAAATTTCTACCTCATCAAGATGTATTATTACTTGTCCTCCTAAATCATTTCTATCATTTCAATCCTAATATTGAGTTTTTATCAATTTTCAAGTCTTTGCGAAACATAATTTTTTAGTAAAAGGATTATAGACTTTACATATGCATGAAGTAAAATTAACTTTTTATCCTTATTAACTTTCTTTCTCTTCACATTAGGGACATGCTTGTAACAAATAGAGTCAAAGATTCTAAACTGATTAATATTTAGTTTCGAGCCTCAGTATGCTTTTTCAAGAGTGATTTTATTAAATCTTCTTATAACACATCTATTAAAACTATAAATAGTTGTTAAGATATCTATTTCATCCCAAAATCTTTTGAGCAATTTCTTATTCTCCCTTCCTAAAATATCATTGTGTTGTGCAACGTAGGGTGTTATGACATCTTGAATAATCTTCTCACTCACTGAAAGAGTATTCTCCACCCATTAGTCCTTAGTAACTTCAATTTTTCCATTTGTGTTTTGAAGATAAGAAAAATGACAAACACACAACTCTTCCTCTTAATTAGGTAAATGCAAGTCTTTCTTGTAAAATTATCTATGAATGTCACAAGATACCTATTACCACCTAATGAGTTCAACTCAAAAGAACCACAAACATCTTTATATACTAACTTAAGTACTTTAATTAACTTGGTAGGAACATAAGCTATAAATGAGGTCTGGTCTCCTTACTTGTAAGGTCATGGATTCTAAATTCTAATACAAGCAATTTAGTTGCAATACCAATTTTACTAAGTATGTCAAGGTTCTTGAAATTCAATGGCCATACATTTGATGTTATTTTTAGTTTTGGTGAGAAACTCTAGATACCAAGCATTGAATTCCATATACATGAATTTCAACCTTGAAAGATTTATTATTAGGCAGTGGAGTTTTCATATCAATTTGTTGTCGACTAAAAAAACCTTCAATATTGTATTTTTTATTGCTATTGTATATTCTTTTTCCAACAATTTACCAAGACTAAAATTACTCTTCATCTTAGGGACATAAAATATATTGGAAACATGTATTTGTCATCTTTCTTCTGAATTGAATTTTTTTTATTCCCTTTACATCAATGAAACTATGATATGTAGATTTCACTTTACTCTAGACAGTCTCAGCAAGACTCACGAATTATTTCTTGAGTCTAGTAATGTGATTGGAGCATCTCCATTAATCACTCTTGTCATACTCGTTTGATTTTATCCATGAACAACACTTTATCCTCTTTTTAACTCCTTTTTCTAAGTCATTTTTGCTTCAACATTATTTTCATCATTGTCACACTTAAATTTACAAAATGGTCAAAGTTTCTAAATTTGAATCGTTATATCTTTCTCTTATAATTTTTTCTATTATACTTCTTGAATGATGATAAACTAAGATCTTGACTTGTCCCTTCATAATTCTTTTTTTTGTCATTTTTCATTTATTTTTTTCTTTTCCCTTGTCCAAAAAACCTCTTGCTCAATTAGATATCAGATCATATTCCTCTCCATAATTCTTGTTGAGAATTCAAGTGTGAGTTTAAAGTCCCACATTAAGTAGAAATGGGAAATTTAAATAACTTATAAGTGAGAAAGACTCATAACTCAATGCCTTAAGGTTTTGGGTTGAGAGTGGCGTCATATTCTCTTATATAGTTGGTTTATGACCCA